CCGAAGTCACAGCTGCCCAGTGTTGAGTTTTGAGGGAGAGAGAAAGAGAGAGAGAGAGAGAGAGAGAGAGAGAGAGAGAGAGAGAGAGAGAGAGAGAGAGAGAGAGAGATCTGGTTTGAAAAGCAGAACTCTGCTAAGGGGCTTGTTAAAAATTCTGATTCAGTAGGACTGGGGCAAGACTTGAAAACTGCATTTCTAACAAGCTCCCAGGTAATTCCAATGCTGCTTGTACCAGGACCCCACTTTGAGAGCCACCACCCTAAGGCTATCTAGTTTGATTTCTAGTATGAGAAGAAGGCTGGGAGGCAGAGGTGTAGTATCAATGAGTTCATGCCTAGCCCATCCTGGAGAGCTCCCCACCCCTAAGCTGCAGTGTTTGATTTCCTTGGCATCCTGGGAATGACAGATACCCAGCAAGGGGCTGAATGTGAGGCAAGAGGCCATCCAGAGGCTCGGCTTCACACAGCACCTGGGGCTCCTGCCACTCCACAACTGGCCCCCACACCCTCAGTCCTTCCCACCCCTCACACACTGAGCAGGCTTGTGCTACTGCCTTTGGCTGTTTCGGCCTGATGTGCCCTAGGTGCTCTCAGTGGTACCTTCTGATCCTAATACAGGGTGATCTAGTGTGGCAAGTATTTAGAATGTGCTAGTAATGAGGACCTTGAAATTTTGGCAAAGGGAGTCAATCATGTGTCCTTCAGTAGAATTATCAGTGCTTTCTTTTCTAAGTATCACATCCTTGAGACCACATGGACAGTAGAGGGCGTTTTGAGCCCAATGAAGCCACAATTGTCACGTTGGACCCCCGAGAATCCCTTGTAGATTGGGCTTCATTTACAACAAGATTTGGTCAAAATTTCCTTCACCTAACCAATTGCATTTGTTAATTAATCATGCTGTCATTTTGCCTTGTAGTGAATGAAAGTCAGACATGTAAAGAGAGATAGTGCAATTAAAAAGAAAACAGCTTAACGAATTAAACTACTAGTAAACATCCTTGTTGAAGCAGTGATATAATGTTTAGACCTTTTTATCTTAAGGAAGGTAAAATAATTATTTCTATTAGAGTTTTTTAAAGTTTTTCATTTGAGGCATTTGGTTTTGCTTGTTTTGTCTCCTTTGGAATTATCTTTTACGTTTTGACTCAGCTCAAAATTCAAAAGGTTAAAAGTCTCTCAACCCATCCCACCTCTGACAGGCAGCCACTGATATCAGTCTCTTGCTTATTCTTTCAAAGACGTTTTACGCATATGCAAGCAAATATAAACATACACGTATGTATTCTTTCTACATTTTCACACAAATTTTAACAAAGTACACTTGCTTTTCTGTACCTTACTTTTACCCTTCACATTGTATCATGGAGACTAACCCATGAAGCAATATCAAGAGCTTCACTACATCTTTCTTTATTTGTTTTAAATGTTTGTGGTACTGCATTGTATAGATATGCAAAGATTTCTTTTAAGAGAGATTACTTTTTTTGACTGCATTGCTTTTTAACCAGCCATTCCTGATAGGCATTTGGATTATTTCTTTCAGAGAACAATTTAACATCATGTAGCATCATGTATGAAGGGTGGAGTGATTCCACTCCTACACGGGTATTCTAGGGGAGCTCACATACTCCTGGGATCAGAAGGCAATGTCCCAGCATGTTAATTGCAACAATGTCTGTAATAGAGACAACAAAAAGGTCAGTGAAGAGGGAAGAAATAAATTGTAGCAGATTTCTCCTATTCAATACTATGGAGCAATGAGATCAAATGAACTATTTGTAGGAACATGGATCCATCTTACAGACCATGTTACCTGCAAGCAAACAAATGATAAAATCAGCAAGAAACAACTATACAAAGTCTAAACGCAAGGCCGGGAGCAGTGGCTTACCCTTGTAATCCTACTACTTTGGGAGGCCAATATGACAGATTGCACAAGCCCAGGACCTTGAGACCAGCCTGGAAAACATGACAAAACCCCATCTCTACAAAAAATACAAAAATTAGCTGGTCATGGTGGTGCTCACCTACAGTCCCAGCTACTTGGGAGGCTGAGATGGGAGGATTGCTTAAGCCTGAAAGGTTGAGGCTGCAGTAAGCAGAGACAGCACCACTGCAACTCCAGCCTTGGTGACAGAGCAAGATGCTATGTAAAAAAAAAGTCTAAAAACATGTTAAACAAAAAGATTGTCTAAAACTTATTAAAAATATAAAGGCATGCAGCAAATTTGACACACATCCACCAGTAGTTCTTGCTTTGCTCAGTACAGTATTGCATGAAACACAGGCATATCGGAACTGTGGAAAATCAGGGCTTTCTACATACATGGCTATAATTTTTTTGTAGCTACATATAGCCAATAATATTAAAATGTCACAAATTGACAAACCTGGGTGGTGGCTTCACAAACATTTCTTATAATTCTCTACTCTTTCTTCCAACTAGATTACTTCAAAATATACTTTGTGAAGTAAATCCATGGGAATTGAACAAAATATAAAAGGAGTTATTGAGTGCGAGGAAATCTCCAGAGAGGTAAAGACAGATGGAGAGATGATAATACTGAGCGTGTTAGTGACCTTCACAGTAACAGATTTCCTGGAGGAGTGTGAGTGAAGACAGAATGAAGCGGATAGAAGGATGAAGGAGTGGGGACTCCAAGGGGTAAATGTGGGGTGAGGTGGGCCAGACTGGGAGGTGCGGTTTGGTTCTGAACATTCTGCTTGAGATCCAGTACTTAGAGAAAGAGAAGTCACATTTATTTGGCTTCTTCCACAATCTTTAGAGAAATCTTCTGAAACAGAACAAAAGGAGATATATGAATGGCCAACAGTCTTCAGGGAAAAATGCTCAATAAAACCACAGTGAGAAACCACTAAACATCTATTAGAATGGCTAAAATTAAAACTATTAATAACTATATGTTGGCAAAGATGCAGAACAGTCTGTACTCTCATCTATTATCTACAGGAATATAAAGCAACTACTCTGAAAACCAGTTTCATATCATGTAATAAAGTTAAACAGACCACTACTCCATGGCTGGCATTTCCATTCCTAGGTATTTACTCAAGAGAAATGAAGAGTATGTCCTAGAATCTCTGTACAAGAATGTCCATGTGGCCTGTACTTAATGATTCACTTCTATCTGATAGAGTAACGTTAACATGACACTTTATGGCTCTTGGTGTAGAACAAAAAACTCACCATAGCTTCCACCTTTGCTCTCTCTGCCTCTGGGATCAAGAACTCTGGGGGAAGTCAACTGCTGTGTCATAAGCAGACCAGTAAAAAGGTCCATGTGGCTAGGAACTGAGTCATCCTGGGACCAGACAGCAAGGAACTGAGGCCTTTTCCAATAGCCATGTGTATGAGCCATTTTTCATGCAAATCCCCAGCCCCAGTTGAGCCCTCAGATGATGCAGCCCTGTCTGACAACTGGACTGCAACCTTGTGAGAGGCCCTGAGCCAGAAGCAATCAGGGAAACCTCTCCTGGATTCCCAGAATCCAGGAAATTCTCTCCTGGAAATTGTGAGAGATAATAAATAGTTGTTGCTTTGAGCTGTGAAGTTTCGGTAATTTATTATGTAGCAGTAAAAAATTAATACAGCTTCACAAGAGAGGATGATTATTGCACTTTAATTTTCATTTGCTCTAAATGCATTAGTATTTTTATCATCATCATTATTATTGAGACAAGGTCTTGCTCTGTCACTCAGGCTGGAGTGCTGTGACAGTCCACTATGAGAGCTCACTGCAGCCTCTACCTTCTGGGCTCAAGTGATCTTCCCACCTCAGCTGTCTGAGTAGCTGGCAGTGCAGGCATACACTACCATGCAGGTTGCAGCCTCAAACTCCCTGCCTCAGTCTTCAGAGTAGCTAAGAGTCCAGGAGTTTGAGGCTGCAGTGAGCCATGATCATGCAACTGCATGTCACCTTGGATGACAGAGGGAGACTCTCTCTCTAAAAATAAATAAATAAATACAGTACACGGATGCTGTCTAAAGCCAATGTTTGTGGCAATTTATTATGCAGTCATATAAAATTCATACACAGGCTCAACAAACACATGGAATTAATTTATGAATTTATATGCACACTACATGTTTAAAATAGAATACTCTTTTTTCCCAGTATTTTTTATTTTATAATATTCTGTGATGCAATTAAATTTTAATACAATCGTATTTCATTCAATCAGTCAATAAAAATTTATTTAGTCCCTAAGCTGAACCAAGTATGCCCTCATATGCTCATGTGCCTGACATGCTAGAAGCTTCACAAGATGAAGGTGGAGTCATTGTAGTGTTTTAGGTGAAGAAATGACACACTCTGACTCACAGTAGCAGGACCACTGTGGAGAGAACAGTCATGTAGCAGGTAATAGGACAGTGCTAGAGCCACAATTCAGGAGTGACAGGGTGGTGGGGACTAAAGGGAAAGGAAGGCCTCAGGGATGAGAGGGATAAGAGGGATGGAGGGAAGGGCTGCAGGAGTGGGAGGCGAGTAAAAGGAGCAGAGGGAAAGAATTTGAAAGCAGCAGATTTCTTAGGTTTAAACATAGTTTTATAGATTTTTTAATACATCCATCTACAGAGCCTAGCAGGGTGTTCCTCGCATTTGGCCTTTAACACCCTATGTGGGACTGCCTCAAAATTAACTGCTTTTTATGCTTGTTTTCAGGTTTAAAAACATACTAAATATTCCAATAAAATATGCACACCACTTAGATGCGGGTACTTCCTAAAAACAGGCAGTGCATGAGCACTGGTGAGGGGCATTGTGACTGCATTGAGCACTTGTGACTGTGAGGTGAATGAAGTCTGTATTGGCTCCTGGTTGCAGCATACATAACACAGTGAGCTACTTTGTACTGAGGAGATGTCCTGGACTCACACAGAAACTCAGGGCTACGAAATAAGGTAATTTTAAACTTTTTAAACTACAGCAAGAGTCACAGATACACAGTCTGGGAAAGCAAAACTTAGAAGCTCTGTGAGTTGTCAGTTGTAATTTATTTAAACACATTTATGTATCAAGGGGCCAAAGTAACAATTTTTACAGATAACGTTGCAGATCATTCAAAGGTTACAAAGATTTTACAATTCACTGCAGCTAACAGAAAGGAAACTGGTCTCCTTTCTATCTCATGCGCTCAGGCACAACTTTTCCACATTTAAAGAAGAAGAAGAAGAAAACTGTCTCTACACCTCCATTCCCAGTCCAAGCTCACTCTCTGGCGCCAAGCTTCCTGGAGTGAGTTTTCTTCCAATAGAGTCCAGGGGAATCCAGCTTTAGAGGGAGGCAGAAAGTTCAGTCCAGGGACGGGGATTCCGGGATGAAAAGTGAAGGGAGAGAGACTGGGTTCCAGGGGAAGGGTTTCTCCCTAGTTTCTCAGCCTCGAGGCGAAGGCTCAAGGAGACCCTGAGACACACCCTGCCCAGGAGGAGGAGGTTCAGGGTGAAGTCCCAGCGCCCCAGGCGCGGCTCTCAGTGGCTCAAGTCTGGGTAGGGAGGCTCAGCATTTGGGGATTCCCCATTTCCACAGAGTTTCTCTTTCCCAACTTGTGTCGGGTCCTTCTTCCAGGATACTCACGACGGGGACCCAGTTCTCACTCCCATTGGGTGTTGGGTTTCTATAGAAGCCAATCAGTGTCGCCGTGGTCCTGATTCTGAAGTCCCCACGCACCCACGGGGACTCAGATTCTCTCCAGATACGGAGGTTGGGGTCATGGAGCCCCGAACGCTCTTCCTGCTACTCTTGGGGGCCCTGACCCTGACCGAGACCTGGGTGGGTGAGTGCGTACTAGGGAGGGAAAAGGCCTCTGCGGGGAGGAGCAAGAGGCCCGCCCGGAGGGGATGCAGGACCCAGGGGGCCAGGCCAGGAGGAAGGTCGGGCGGATCTCAGCCCCTTCTCGCCCCCAGGCTCCCACTCCTTGAGGTATTTCAGCACCACCGTGTCCCCGCCCGGCCGCTGGGAGCCCCGATACAGGTACATCGGAGTGGGCTACGTGGACGACACGCAGATCGTGCGGTTCGACAGCGACGCCGCGAGTCCGAGGATGGAGCCGCGGGCACCGTGGGTGGAGCAGGAGGGGCCGGAGTATTGGGAGGAGGAGACACTGGTAGTCAAGGCCAGCGCACAAACTGACAGAGTGAAACTGCGGATCGCTCTCGGCTACTACAACCAGAGCGAGGCCGGTGAGTGACTGTGGCTGGGGGAACAGGTCACGACCCCTCCCCATCCCCCACGGAGGGCCTGGGTCTTCCCGAGTCTCCCGTCCGAGAACCACCCTGAGACTAGGGGACCTGCCCAGATTCTCCACCCCGGAGAGCCCCAGGCGCCTTTACCTGGTTTCATTTTCAGTTTAGGCCAAAATTCCCTCGGGTTGGTCGGGGCGTGGGCGGGACTCGGTGGGCGGGGCTGACCGCGGGGGCGGGGCCAGGGTCTCACCCTCCAGGGAATGAATGGCTGAGATGTGGGACCCGATGGACACTTCCTCCGCGGGTATCACCAGCACGCCTACGACGGCAAGGACTACATCTCCCTGAACAAGGACCTGCGCTCCTGGACCACGGCGGAAGTGGCGGCTCAGATCACGCAGCGCAAGTGGGAGGCAGAGAAATATGCAGAGGAATTCAGCACCTACCTGGAGGGCGAGTGCGTGGAGTGGCTCCACAGGTACCTGGAGAACGGGAAGGAGACGCCGTAGCGCGCCGGTACCAGGGGCCACGGGGCGCCTTCACTATCTCCTGTAGATCTCCCCGGCTGGCCTCGCACAAGTAGGGGAGGAAAAAGGGACCAATGCTATAATATCGCCCTCCCGCTGGTCCTGTGTGGCAAGAATCTTCCTGGCTTTCCATCGCCTGTATATCTCCTGGGTTGGCTTCCCTCCACAAGGGGAGGAAAATGGGACCAACGCAAGAATATCGCCCTCCCTCTAGTCCTGAGTGGGAAGAATCCTCCGGGTTCCCGGATCCTGTACCAGAGTGACTCTGAGTATCCGCTCTGCTTGCTGGGACAGTTACGGGATGAAGTCTTTGAGGGAATGGAAGGGAAGACAGTCCCTGGAACACTGATCAGCGGTCCCCTTTGACCCCTGCAACATCCTTGGTCCCCGTGACTTTTGCTCTCGGGCCTTCTTCTCTGCCTCACACACAATGTGTGTGGTGCTCTGATTCCAGCTCTTCTAAGTCTCTCGGCCTCCACTTAGGTCAGGGACAGAAGTCCCTATTCCCCCTCAGAGACTCGAACTCTGCAAGGAATAAGAGATTATCCCAGGTGTCCTGTCTATTCTCAGGATGGTCATATGAGCACTGCGGGGTGTCTCATGAGGAGTGCAAAGGGTCTGAATTTTCTGACTCTTCTCAGATCCTCCAAAGGCACACGTTGCCCATCACCCCATCTCTGACCATGAGGCCACCCTGAGGTGCTGGGCCTTGGGCTTCTACCCTGTGGAGATCATGCTGACCTGGCAGAGGGATGGAGAGGATCAGACCCAGGACACAGAGCTTGTGGAGACCAGGCCTGCAGGGGATGGAAACTTCCAGAAGTGGGCAGCTGTGGTGGTGCTTTCTGGGGAGGAGCAGCGATACACCTGCCATGTGCAGCACGAGGGGCTGCCAGAGCCCCTCACCCTGAGATGGGGTAAGGAGTGAGATGGAATAAAGGGGAGGATGAGAGGTGATGTCTTTTCTCAAGAGAAGCAGGAGCCCTTCTGGAGCCCTTCAGCAGGGTCAGGGCTGAGGCCCAGGGATCAGGGCCCCTCACCTTCCCCTCCTTTCCCAGAGCCATCTTCCCAGCCCACCGTCCCCAACATGGGCATCATTGCTGGCCTGGTTGTCCTTGGAGCTGTGGTCACTGGAGCTGTGATGTGGAGGAAGAAGATCTCAGGTTGGGAAGGGGTGAGGAGTGGGGTCTGAGTTTTCTTGTCCTAGTGGGGATTTTGAGCCCCAGGTAGAAGTATGCCCTGTCTCCTTACTGGGAAGCATCATCCACACACATGGGCCTACCCAGCCGGGTACACTGTGTGACACTTACTCGTTTGTAAAGCAAAAATGAACCAGATTCTTCACTTCAAAGACTGCGGTGGTGGCGACCTGATTGCCAGAAGTCACAAATCTCAGGGGAAGGTCCTGCTGAGGGCATACTTTAGGAGGACAGTTGGTCCAGGACCTATACCTGCTTCCTTATTTTCTGATTCTGCCCTGGATCTGCAGTTATACATTTCTGAGAACTTCTATGGGATCAAAGACTATGGGGTTGCTCTAGGACCTTATGGCCCTGCCTCCTTTCTGGCATCTCACAGGACATTTTCTTCCCACAGACAGAAACAGAGAGAGCTGCTCTCAGGCTGCAAGTAAGTATGAAGGGGGCTGAACCCTGAGATCATTGGGATACTGTGGTTGGGAGCCCAAGGGAAGCTGTCCCAGCCCGCAGTTCCTCCTTTAGGGGCATCTCCTGTGGGCTCTGACCAGGTCCTGTTTGTGTTCTACCCCAGTCATTGACACTGCCCAGGGCTTTGGTGTGTCTCTCATAACTTATAAAGGTGACACTTGGGGTCAGGAGCCATGATATAAGTGGGGTATTGTGGGGAACAGAGGGAACATGGTTGTGCTATGGGGGTTCTTTGACTTGGATGTCCTGAGTATGCCATGGGCGGTTCAGAGTGTCACCTCTCACTGTGACTAATATGAATTTGTTCATGAATATTTTCTCTATAGTGTGATATAGCCGCCTTGTGTGGGACTGAGAAGCAAGATTTGTTCATGCCTCCCTTTTGTGACTTTGAGTACCCCAAATTCTCTTTCTGCAACGGTGTCCAAATGTGTCTTCATCCCTGTTAGTATAATGTGAGAAAGTGGGGGACCAGTCCACCCCCGTGTCCTCCATGACCCCCTTCCCCGCACTGCCCCATATTGTTTCTACCCAATGATCCTTCCTGTTCCAGAGACATGGGACTTGGATGTCTTTATTTCTGTCTGAACTTCATGGTGTACTGAGCTGCAACTTCCTACTTCCCTATTAAAATTAGAATCTGAGTATAAATTTACTTCTTCAAATTATTGCCATGGGAGGTTGATGAGTTAATTAAAGGAGGAGATTACTAAAATTTAAGAGACAAAATAAATGGAAGACCTGAGAACCTTCCAGAGTCTATGTGTTTCTTCTACTGATCTCTTGCGGAGGAGAGTAGATGGGGCTGTGGCCGGTGGGAGCTCAAGCCACTGTGGGCTTTATGTGGTCACTGCTCGGCTGGGTCATCTTTGCTGCTCCAATGGCCTTGGTCCTTCAGTAGAACCTTGTCCCACCAGGACCTGTGATCACAGGGACTCAGATGTCATTCAGGGCAGTCCCTGCACACAGAAGTCCTTGTGGTATCAAGAGATTGAGTTTTCAGACCCATCCAGCGCTTGCCCCCCTTCCAGGGCTCTTTCCTGGATTGTATTTTCCATCTTTTCACCAGCATTCTTACAGAAACCAGATTCTGAAATTTGCAGAGAGGAGGGCTCCCATAGTTTCTCATCATAGGTAACTTTCTGTTGGAACTCCTTCTGCTCTCTCTCCTACTCTTCTTCCTGCCCTGAGTTGTAGTGATCCTAGTGCTGCCTCCAATCCAAACCCATGGATTTGTAAAACAGTCTAATTTAGATTTATATGCAGTTGGAAAATTGGACTTAGAATCCTAGGATTATCTTTCCCGAAAAGAGACATATGATTGTGTGCTGCCGTGTGCAGGAGGGTTGGTGTGAGAGGTGGGATAAGGGGAGGAGGGGCACACAAGCAGCACTGGTGACGAAAGTGCTGGTGGCACTGATGTCAGTGTGAGAGGATGTCGTGTTGCAGCTGCCACAAAACAGCATTTGGCCTGAGGCTGCATTAATAAAGATATTGCCTTTAGAATAGGGAGGTGCTCTATGGTGATCATTCATCGAACTGACATTTTTTGTCTGCTGAGTAAATGACTATTTTTGCATTTGGAAAACGTCTTTAAAGTAAAAACAGAGAAATTTCTGGCCTTGTGGTGCATATGTTCTAGGGAGAAGAGGCAGACATAAGATACACTATGAGCAGAGTAAGGAAGGACAATGCTCTTGTTAGAAGGTGGCAAGTGCTGTGGGGCATGATCCAGAGTGTGGGCTGTGGGGACAGGGAGGTGGCTGTTGTACTATGTGGTCAGTGTGGGCCTCCTTTCAAATGTGACCTTCAAGGAAAGTTTTTTTTTTTTTTCACAGTTGGCAGAGCTAATTATGGCTTTATTTTGGAAGCACGCGCACACACACACACACACACACACACACACACACAGTTATTTTGTAGCTGAAGGCATGTGCAAGTGGGGGTGGCCCAGGCAGCGAACTCCCCCACAGGTGGGCTGATGGCGAGGGCTGAGCCTCAGGTGAGTCTTCTGTTCCTGATGCTCCCCTGCACAGTGGCCTCCCCCACAGGCTCTGGGGCAGTCACAGGAAGGGGTAGATTGAGAGAGGCTGTCGTGGCAGTTCACTTGGGCAGCACATTCGAGGACTTGGACAGCAGCTTCCTACCACGGGTCTTTATGGTCTTAATTTTCCTCATAACCATGGCCCTGGAGGTGCCGGTGCAGCTGAAGGAGCTGGAGCCCCCACCAGAGCCAAAGGTGGAGCCCAGGCTGTAGCTGAGGCCAGGGCTTGTGAGGTCCCTGTAGGCCAAGCTCAGCTCAGCTGAGTAGCCACTGCTGGTGCTCCTATGGATACTCACATTCCATATCCCAGATTCCAGCCAGCTCTCCTTGCCCTGCAGCAGCTTCCTGTAGGTGGCAATCTCGATGTCCTGTGTGTGTCTGTTTGATGTTCCTCAGGTCCTGGTACTGGCACAGCTGCCATGCCACGTCCTGCTTTGCCCACTGTTGGGTGGCCTCCAGCACGGACAGCTTGGCTTCATTAATGGCCAGCTCCTCATGCTTCTTGGCATCCATGATGACAGCCTGCAGGGGAGCTCACTGGCTTTTGAGGCCTCCATCTCAGCCTGAAGCCATTCTGAGGTTCCAAGTCATCTCTGAGATCTCCATCTTCATGTGGAGGTCATCCCATGCTTCCCAGCCAGAGCCTGCCACTCCTCCTACTTGATCTGGTGCAGACTCTTGGCCTCAGCCTGGCTGCGGTTGGCAATCTCTTCTTACCGGGCCTTAACCTCAGTGATGATGCTCTTTAAGTCCTGGGAGCAGATATTGTCCATGGACAGCATCACAGATGTGTCAAATTGGGGAAGGCAGCTCCTGGATCTCCTGTTTACACAGCTGCTGGAGGAAGTTTGTCTCGTCAGTCAGCCCTTCCAGGTGAGACTCCAGCTCTACCTGGTTCATGTCAGCTTCATCTTTATCCTTCTTTATGAGTAGAAATTCATTCTCCATTTTTGTATGACTATTGATCTCATCCTCGTATTTGTTCTTGAAGTCTTCCACCAGCCCCATGTGTTGCCAAACTCCACCTCCAGCTTTAGCTTTTCCTGGTCCAGAATGTCCCGCTGCTGCTGAAGGGTGATGTGGCTTTCAATCATGTGGTCCATGTTCCTCTGAGCCATCTTCTGCTGCTTTAGGAGGCTCCACTTGAGCTCCATCATCTTGTTCTACCACTCCAGGAACCATACCCTGTTGATGAAGGAGGCAAATTTGTTGTTGAGGTTCTTGATCTGCTCCTTCTCCTGTGTGCACACGGCCTGGGTGTTGGGGTTCACCTCTAGCTTAAGAGTGCTCAGCAGGGTCTTGTTGAACATGATGGCTATAATGCCCCCATTCCACAAGCCCTGCCACAGCCTCCACCCAGACCCTTGCCATGCCCAAGTCACCCCCAAAGCTGCTGCCCCTGCTGCCCACTTTGGAGAAGCTTGAGGAGCTGATGTGGGCACCAGGCCCACTCATGTAGGAGCAGCTGCTGAAGGCCTTGGGGCCAGAGTGAAATACCTTGTAGTACTTCTGGGTCACCCTGATGGACATGGTGGGGAAACTGTGCTGAGCCTGGCAGAGTTGCATGAAGGAGCAGAGAAGCTGCTTCTAGGTCTTGATGAAAGATTTGGAGGACATGAGTGATATCTATGAGGATGTCTACGAAAGTTCTTTCCAGGCAGGGAGACTCCCATGCAAATGCACTAGGGCAGGAAGGTGTCTGTGTTCTGGGAAGTGGGAAGAGGCCAGAAGGGCTGGACAGAGTAAATGAGATGAGTTCTGAGGTGTGGCCACAGCAGACAGGCCTGGAGGGTGTGGGCAGGGTTTTCTCTTTTGCTCTGAGTGTGATGGGGAGTTAGAGAACAGTTTTGAAAAATGGGACATGGTAAGACTTATTCTTTAAAACCTTCTCTCTGGCTGCTCTACTGAGAACAGAATTGAGAGGTGGTGACAAGCAAGGCAGTAGAGAAAACAGTGGGAAAGGTATGTAGCATTTCAGGATAGAGATGTCAGTTATCTTGACCTGGGTGTCAGCAGTGGAAATAATGAGAAGTGATGGGATTGTGGCTGCATCATAGCATTTGCTAATAAATTATATCTGTGATCTGAGAAAGAAGAATCAAGGACAGCCACAGTTTTAGACTGGGAGTGTAGAAGGGTGGCACTGCTGTCAGTGGAGACGGGGAGACTCTGGCAGGAACATACGGAGGAGAGGGCATCGCAGGCATTCAGTGGAGGAGACATCTACGAGGAGTGCAGGTGAGGGGCCTGGATGCCTCTGCAGCTACAGCTTCATCATCCAATGACTCTTCTGCTTTCACCCCCCTGCTCCCCCGTGTCGCAGGTGTCTCAGAGCCAGAGCACCAATTCTCTCCTGGGCTATCTGCACAGATATGTGAAAGGGAAGTTATGGTTTCCAGTTGGTTATGATAAATTACAGATTAATATTGTTCTTTCTTGGATAATTAAGGGAATGATAAGACAATGGGTAATTAGAACACTTATTAAGCAGGGTAAAATAATGAAAAGTTTTTGATTAATCTGAAAAAGGCAAGCAAAGAAAAATAATGGAGCAAAAAGATGTAATGCTAGAAACAGCAAATGACAAGGTAGGCTTAAACCCAACCCAGGCAACAACTAAACAATTAAACATAAAGGACTCAACCACCCCAATTACAAGGCAAATAATGCAGAGGGGCAAGAATAAATAAATAAATAAACAACAATAGACTATTTCAAAAAGACATACTATTGGTAGAAGATACAGAAAAGTTGAAAGTAAAAGGATAAAAAAGAAATATCACACAAACATTTCCGAAAAAATGCATAGAAGGCCGGGCGTGGTGGCTCACACCTATAATCCCAGCACTTTGGGAGGCTGAGGCTGGAGGATCACAAGGTGAAGAGATTGCGACCATCCTGGTCAACAAGGTGAAACCCCGTCTCTACTAAAAATACAAAAAATTAGCTGGGCGTGGTGGTGCGGCTGTAGTCCCAGCTACTCAGGAGGCTGAGGCAGGAGAATTGCTTGAACCCAGAAGGTGGAGGTTGTAGTGAGCCGAGATCGTGCCATTGAACTCCAGTCTGGGTAACAAGAGAGAAACTCCATCTCAAAATAAAAAAGAAAGAAAGAAAAAACGCATAGAAACACGATTTAGAAAAATTACAGGACATGAGTCTCCTGAGACGTAGAGTACATGTAGACACCTTACATCATCTGTTTTCTTTTTTTCAGAGACAGGGTCTTGCTCAGTTGCCCAGGCTGAAATGCAATGGTGACCATAGCTGAGTTGCCTGCAACCTCAAACTCCTGAGCTCAAGCAATTCTGCCTCAGCCACCCAAGTAGCTAGGACTATAGATAGGCACACGCCACCACACCTGGCTATAACTTCCTTAATATAGTTTCCTATTTGCTGCGGTTTGATCCATGAAACAATATTATGCCATGTATCTGACTTGCATAGGTACACAACAAATATTAGGTGAATAAAGAAATAAAACCACCCAGTGACTCAAGCCACATCCACATTTGTATTTTACAACTGAAGAGCAACATCATAGAAAAGTAAAGTAAAATAAATTGAATTACATCATCCAGAGCAGAGTCAGGAACACGCACTCCATTCCCTGTACTCAAGGAATCAGAGCTCCACTGGGGTAGTAGCAGTTATCATGCAAGTTAGATATGCTAATTACTGAAATTAGAATGGATACATTTCAAAATATACTTAAG